AATATATTGCAATTATTTTAAACTATTTGATCAAATAACATTATTTTACACTAGAAGTTACCAATATTTATGGCTTAAATTCAACAGACTATATTTATTTAATGAAATCTCAGCCTTTGTTTTGATAATGGCACTGAGCTATATCGCATTTTGTATTTTATTTTAATTAATTTTGCAGCCATAAATAAGTACATTCATAAAAATAAAACAAATATGTGAAAGAATATAAAATACAGTTAAAAATAAACTAATAAATTAATAAATAAAGGAGGAAAAAGTAATACAGGATTAATTGTATTTGTTTTAGCAAGTCGTTTATTCCTTTACTTATTTTCCTGTTATTATATTTATTTCTTTATTTTAAATTTTCGCTGGTTTGGTCCCCCATAGACTACATTTATATTTCATTTGAGCTTAACCAAAGGACATAATCAATACATTAATGCAGAATCCTCAAACTTCTCTCTTTTTCTGGACTCAGAGCCGTTCCCCAGCTGTGTTCTGGAAGTTTCTCCACAAGACGTGAAGGAGTATTTCTGTCCTCAAGACTTCAGGGTCGGTGAGGAGGTCACGCTGATGGGGAGGCGCTTCCTGCTGTATGACTGTGACGACTTCACCAGGAAATATTATGAACAGAATCACCCCGACTTCCTGCTCAAACCACTTACTGTAGACACCAGAACACAGCAAGACATCAAGAAGGTCAGAGACTTACTCTTAATCGGGCTAACATCACATCTCATCTTAGTTAAAAATGTTTTTTACAGTAGTATGCAAATGGTACTTTTTTTTTGGTAATTTTATATGATCTATCTGACACTTTCCACAAATAGGGTACACTTATGTTCTCTAGAAATGTGTTATGTTGTGACTCGGTTGTCTTGGACTCACACTGACATCTCACGTTGTGAATAAAGCATCACGCAAATGTTTTCAGTTAGTGATGCCATTGTAGAAATATTAGTCAAACAATAATTAGTCAAACCACTTTACAAGAGATGGTCTGAATGATTCGTTAGCAAATCTGTCTGAATCAAAATAATAAAAAAAAAGTCTTACCCAGTAATCATATTATATTATTCACACATTTTATTAATGTTTTTAAGTTAATTTCTAGAAAATAACAAAAAGTTCCAAAAGTTACTAACAGGGTTGGAAATAATTGCAAGCCTTATAAAATAAGTTACAATTTTAATACATTTCTAATGTTAATAAAAAAATATGATTTAATTTTTTTAAAGTTAATTTCTAGAAAATAACAAGATGTTCCAAATGTTTAATCTTAATAATTTTTTTTTTTAGTTGATTTCTAGAAAATAAAATGTTCCAAATGTTACTAACAGGGTTGGAAAAATGGTAAGTCTTATATAAAATAAATGTTACATTTTTAATACATTTTTAATGTTAATAACTAATGTTATTATTTAATGTTTTTTAACTTTAATTTCTAGAAAATAACAAACATTTCCAAAAGTTACTAACAGGGTTGGAAATAATTGCAAGCCGTATCAAATAAATGTTACAATTTTAATACAAATTCTAATGCTAATAAAAATATATATTATTTATATATATTTTTTTTTGTTAATTTCTAGAAAATAACAAAATGTTCCAAATGTTACTAACAGGGTTGGAAAAATGGTAAGCCTTTTATAAAATAAATTTAATATTTTTAATACATTTTAAAATGTTAATAACATTTTCTCTACAACCACCTTTTTGATTTACTGAAAAAGAAACCAAAAAGCCTATTTTGTACCATGTTTGTGGAATAAGACCCCTATATTTTCTATCCCGCCTGTTTGTGAGGTATATGATGTGTAAATGTTCCCTTCCCTCCATCTGTTCATCCAGATATTCCGTCTGTCCATGTGTTTTCTGAACCTGTCACGCAGGCGATTCCTCCGTATAACGGCTTCGGTTCGCTGGAGGACTCGTTACAGAACTGTCTGTCCCTGATTCCTGAACCGCCCAAGAAAGACGTGATCAAACTGCTGGAGAACGACAACAAAGTCCTGCGTTACATCGCACGGCTGGTGAGTGCACAGCTCATTTGGATCATTCCCGTACTGAATATTTTTTTTATTTATAAAAATGTTTGTGTATTTGTTTATATGGCTTCCACTCATGTCCAGTTCTATTCACAATGTCGGTTTATTTTGCAAGGACTCTACATTCGTCCTTACAACATTCTCGTCTGCCACAGGATTCCCAGAATCCCCTGGATGAGGGCCGACGCTTCATTCTGTCGTACTACCTGTCTGATGACATGATCAGTGTCTTTGAGAGATCAACACGTAATTCCGGCATCATCGGAGGAAAATTCCTAGAGAAGACTCGTGTCCCGAAACCAGGAAGCTCTGTGGAAAACCCAGAATACTTCGGGCCTGCAGACTTCTCCATTGGAGCGACTGTGGAGGGTATTGACCAGTGACATCACATCCTGGGAATCATCACTCTCCTGTTTTCTCATGCTGTTCTGTTCTTTTCTCTGCAGTGTTTGGCCATCGGTTTGTCCTGATGGATGCTGATCGTTATGTGTTGAGTTATCTGGAGTCACTGTCCCATCACATCCCTGAACACACTCTCTCTTCCCTGAGACAGAAGTTTGGGGTCAGTCAAACCTCAGCCCAGGAACAACATGAAGGTAAAAAACTTTTGTTTGGTTGTGGCCTATGCAACCTACAATCATAAAAATAAAGGTTCTTTATTGGCTTCGATGGTTCCACGAGGAGCCTTTAACATCCATGGACCTTTGAACAAAAGGTTCTTTAGAGTATTAAAATATTTTTCAATTTAAGATGAAAATGATTATCTCAAGTACTGTTCACAAAAGATTCTTTGGGGGAATCAAAAATGGATCTTCCAAGGCATCACTAAGAATATACTGATTTCGCCATATGGCAAAATATATATAGTCAAATATATTTTTTAATATTTCAAAAAATATATTTGCTAAAATATACTTTTTATTCTACCAATACGTTTATATAAATATTTAAATAAATATAAAATATCCATCCATATTTGCATTTAATGTAGGCTACTGTAAGATTGGAAATGTATTTTCTTGCCCCTAAAATACATTTTAAAATATATTTTGGTATATGAAGGTTGAAAGTAAACAGGTTTTTTTTTTCATTCAACTCACACCATATATTTAAAATATATTTGGCCCAGAAAAAAAAAATGCAGTAAGGGTTGGATCCTTTAAGTGCCTTTAAATCTAAGATCCTGTGAAAAGGAGAAATGGACTAATCATGATTATGTTTCTGTGGCTGATTATGAAATCTTGAATATTTCTCTTCACAGGTGAGACTGATGAAGTTGCGGTCGTCCTCCAGAGCTGAAATCTGCTCTATAATGCTTCCCATCGTCACAAGATACCAACACGTCATCAAAATACTTTAATTCTTTCATGTTTGTTCTTTTTGATGTTGAGAATGTGCATGTATTATGTTAATGTACAATAAAGAAAGAGAGGAAAACAAGCATCTGTAAATTTTTTGAGGCTCATTTATGTGTAATTTGACTGTATTTACAAACCTGTCTTATTTCACCACAAAATTAGAAGAAAATAATTATCTTAACGTTAGGCTGGATTCATCTGAAGCAAAAAAAAGTAATAAAATATTAAGGTAAATTAAGTTTGTAAGCATGGTCCTACGTGCAAATCTGGAAACATTAACTACCCAAATACATTCCTAGGATTTTTTTTTTCTTTTTGTAAAATTACAGGTTTAGATGTCTGATTAGATGTTATACTACATAAAGACGCCTTGTGTAATACAACAAATGAAAAACCTTGAACTGGAGAAATTTCTGAATGTGTGTATTCATCAGATGCCCGATGCATAAAGGTCATCTAGAAGAATGTGAATTCTTAAAAACACTTTTTTTCTAAGATTGTTCTTGAGTATTTTTTAAAACTAAAGTAAAGAAAATTTTTACAAGTTAGAAAATAAAATGGAAGTTTAAAAGAAATGTATTCCTAAAATATTTTGTGAATCCACCCCCTTATTTTTAGTATCAATAATATTAATTTGCGTCAGTGTTATATTCCATGTTAAAGGGGTCATAGGATGCCCATTTTCCACAAGTTGATATGATTCTTAATGAAAAGGGTGAAGCTGGATCATGAGTGATTCGCACAAACAGAACATTTATGTAGATTGGGGGCGCATTCCCGTCAAAAACAAATAATCCACTGCGTCTTCAGCGGCTCAGATGTCGGGAGTAAACGACGACTGCTATGTTCATTATTACATCCAACAACAAAACACCTCAATCGCTTAGGAGTCATTCTTGTCTACATCTGCTCCGGCGGTGAAACAATGGCGGACTGATGACAGCTCACTCAGGGCGGAGCTAAGGTAAGACGTCAGGCCAGTCTGTGCTGAAACGCTACTGTCAATCAAACTATCGTGGGAGGGGCCTGTTTTTGTGACGTCACACAGACAGGCATCTGAGATCGGCTCGATTTGAGAAGGGTAAAGATTTTAGTAGATTAAAAAAAAACACTGGGTGGATTTTTATCATTATAGGGTGGTTGTGTACACACACTGCCAACACACATTTCAGTTCAAACAACTTGTAAAAGTGCATGTAGCATCCTATGACCCCTTTAAGTAAATTTCAGTTAAGTGCAATTGTATATCCCATTGTTGTAGCTGTATTTAATTTTTTGCATTACAGAAATTAATCTTATTTTACAGCAAGTTTTTTTTGCACTGAAAAGCTCATTATCCTAATGTTAAAAAGGTAATTTGTAAATTAGTTTTAAATGTTATTTTCAGTTTACACTGATTTGATAAAAAAATTAAAGAAATTCTAATAGGCTTCTTTCTTGTCATGCAAAACTTTTTTTTTTTTTTTTGGATGAAACGTGACAAGGACATATTTTCACCAGATTTCCATCCATTATCAGTTTATGTGATGAAATAAACATAAATGTTGACATTTTTCTGCAAAGACAGAAAATATTAAAAATGTCAATTCAAAAAGGTTCAATATTTATAAAGCATCGTCATATACAATCAAATATCAAACTGCATAAACGTACAAAGCCAAACTGAGTGAGTGTTTGCTGTGTGTTCAGGGTCATTTCACTACTACAACACTTGTTCCTACCTCAAACAGGATTTTCCATTGTTTGATCTCACAATAACACCTCAGATTTAAATCGTCTCAATAAATGTAATTTCTAGGCCACCGTAGTCACCACTTTTGTACCTCAAAACATGCAGACACAGAAAAATAAAACTAACCTCAAAACAGCGCTTTAATAAAGAAAGACTGAGTGAAGTTTAGAAACATATGCAGAAGAAATAACATGAATACTGAAACTGGAAAGAGAAGTTTAGTACGTTGACCAGAGCTTGTTGAGGGTGCTGTCGTCACTCTGAGAAACGCCACATGCACTTCTCTTGATGTGGAAACGGGAAGCAGCAGGCAGAGGAGCTGTTTCCTGTTCCTGTGCCCTCGATGTGTGGAGGACATGTGCTGGAATGGGGCTGAAGTTTACGGCGCTTTGATCTTCTTGAGACGAGGGGATGTGCCGTTCTCTGCTTTAATCAGTCCATTCTCATAGTGACCAACTGCAGGACATACAACAGCTCGTGTTAGAGAAGACAGACACATCACTGAACACCAAACAACATAGACAAAACCAGTGTCTGTCATTCTTGAGTGTCACGTTTTGGCTCACACACACACAAAGAATATTATTGCCTAGAGGGCAGTGAAGGTTCACCTAAAAAAAGTACTCTTTACAAAAGCTGTATGATTTTTTTTTTTTCAGTAGACAATTCCAAACTATTTACAATACCTTTGTGTGAGGAAAACAATTTAATGATGAATTCATGAATGAGCATGCAGCTTCGACCAAAAAAAAAAAAAAAAAAAAAAAATTTCTGAATTGCTGCCAATTCGAAAGTGAAAGTAAAATACGAAGGAAAGCGAGGAAAAGAGGAAACGCCCCTGCCCCCACGGTATTATCGCTGTTGATTGGCCGGTGGGAAAATGTCCTCACCGTCACAACCTTAATGTGTATCTGTACAGCTAATTTTGGACACACAAGATATTTTGATCAAACTGATCCCTAACACAATGGAAATAGATGGGAATTATTACATTTCTCACATATTTTATATCTTTTAAGTCTCTGACTAGCTAAAATAAAAAATAAAAATGTGTGACTCTTTAGTGTTTTTCATAGTGTCGGTTTTTGGCAAAGTGCATGGAAACCAATGAAACTGACAGGGTTAACAGCATGTTTGGGTAAACCAACTCTTAACCTAGTCTATCTAGAGCACGTTAGTTTAGAATGACAACAAAAAAAAAATATATATATATGAGGGATGTACTATAGCAATTTCTGAGTGAAAATTGTTTTCATTTCACAAATAATTACACAGGGTTTCTACAAATTTTAAAAACTTAAATTTAAGACTTTTTAAACACCTTTTTAAGACCAATTAAAGGAATAAATTAAAGGGAACAAAATACGCCAAGTCTTGTTTTTTGAGACATTTATCAAAATGAAATGGAAAAAAAAAATTATAAAAAATAATAATAATAAGACAAATATCTGTCAATGGGCTCAGAAAAAAAATCTACATGATTCAAAGGGAAAACAAGCTTTCATTCCTCATAGACCAGGGGTGTCCAAACTCAGTTCTCGAGGGCCGGTGTCCTGCAGAGTTTAGCTCCAACTAGGGCTGGACGATATGGCCAAAAATGTACATCATGATATATTTCTTAATTTCGGTCGATACGATATAATTCCGATATCGATATGAACACTATTAAAAAAAGCCTCATAAAAATGGCCAAGAATGGGCACAACAGATGTCTGTGCATACAAACTTATGAAAAATTAATTTGCCAACTCTATGAAACCTACTCCTATAAAACTATATAATATTTTAGGGAAAAAAATGGCGCAACTAAATAAATGTTCACCTTTTATTGGTATTTAGCCTTCATACAAACAAGAAATGTGAAATCACTGTCAAATAAATCTCAGACTCTCATTATTAATATTAATATTTTTTACTTCAAACTATAGGCTAACATACCAGTCAAAAGTTTTTGAAAAGTAAGATTTAATGTTTTTTAAAGAATTCTCTTCTGCTCACCAAGCCTGCATTTATTTGATCCAAAAATACAGCAAAAACAGTAACATTTTGAAATATTTTTACTATTTAAAATAACTGTTTTCTTTTTGAAAATATAATTTATTCCTGTGATTTCAAAGCAGAGCTTTAGCATCATTACTCCAGTCACATGATCCTTCAGAAATCATTCTAATATTCTGATTTGCTGCTCAAAAAACATTTATTATTATGATGTTGAAAACAGCGGAGTAGATTTTTTTCAGGTTTCTTTGATGAATAGAAAGTTCAGAAGAACAGCATTTATCTGAAATAGAAATCTTTTGTAACATTATAAATGTCTTTATCATCACTTTTGATCAATTTAAAACATCCTTGCTAAATGAAAGTAATAATTTCTACAATATACATTTTAAAAAGAGCTTTTGAATGGTATAGTGTATAATGTTACAAAAGCTTTTTATTTCAGATAAATGCTGATCTTTGGATCTTTCTATTCATCAAAGAATCCTGAAAAAAATGTACTCAACAGTTTTAAATATTGATAATCAGCAAATCAGCATATTAAAATGATTGCTGAAGGATCATGTGACACTGAAGACTGGAGTAGGCCTAATGATGCTGAAAACGTAGCTTTGATCACATGAATAAATTACATTTTAAAATATATTCAAATACATATATTTCAAATATTTCAAAATGTTACTGCTTTTGGTGGATTTACAAATAAATCAATGTATGGGAAACACTGAGAATGTATATTGAAATATCGGAAATGTGTTTAAAAATCATATCACCGTTATTGAAAAAAATTATATTGCGATACATATTGATATTGAATTATTGTCCAGCCCTAACTCCAACCCTAAATCAAACACACCTGAACCACCTAATCAAGGTCTTACTAGGCATACTAGAAACTTACAGACAGGTGTATTGAGGCAAGTTGGAGCTAAACTCTGCAGGACACCGGCCCTCCAGGACCGAGTTTGGAGACCCCTGCTCTGACCTAGACAGACGTTTGTAAAATAGTATTCCCGTAGCTACAACTTCAAAATAATAATTTTACCATCTATGTACCTGAATCGCGTTTCAGAGTGCGCTGCATCTGTTGTTTAGCGGCCACTCTCTTCCGGGCCACCTGCTCCAGTCTCAGCTCACGCGTCCGGCTCAGCTGGAAACGGAAGAACTTCCAAAGCAGCCATGATTGAGTGAAACACACCACGAATAACACCAGCAGCCTGCGCGTCAAACACACACAGCGTTATCCTCATGTCCGGGTCTCACATGAAGTACTACTATAAAAAAAACTTGTGTGAACATCTGTTTCACCTTATAGAAAGAGTGTTGAAGTTTCCTGCCTCCAAATCAAGTGTCTGGTTTTCCGAACGAGCCAAACCGAAGCCCACAGCCAGGAACATCAGAGTCAGAGTGATCATACGGGTCAGGACAAACCCGATGGACCACATCTCAAACCTACAAATACAATACAAGCATGTTTGCTGTTATTCAGAGATATTTTGATATACACCATGTCAAAAGGTTGGGGTCGGATTATGTTTTTGAAAGTGTCGACTGCTCACCAAGGTTGCATTTATTTGATCAAAAATGCAGTAAAAACTGTAATATTGTGAAATATTATTACGGTTTATAATAACTGTTCTTTGAGAATGTTTTAAAATGTAATTTATTCCTGTGATCAAAGCTGAATTTCCAGCATCATTCCTCCAGTCTTCAGTGTCACATGATCCTTCAGAAATCATTCTAATATGCTGATTTGCTGCTCAAGAAACATTTCTGATAATAATCAATGTTGAAAACAGTTGTGCTGCTTCATATTTTTGAGGAAACCATGATATTTTATTTTTCAGGATTCTTTGATAAATAGAAAGTTCAAAAGAACAGCATTTATTTGAAGTATTCTGTAACATTATAAATTTATTTACGGTCACTTTTCATCAATTGCATCCTTGCTGAATTTCTTTAAAAAAAACAAGTGCATGTGTGAGAGTAAGTGTGGCTTACATTTTGTGGTGGTTTTCATCAATAAAGTAAAAGAGTCGAGACAGATGGAAACCCATCTCAGAAAGATACTGCAGAAACAACAACACCAGCCCGACCCGCGTCAAGCTAAAGAGAGATGAAAAATACGTTAAATCATTAGTTTACTATATCTGATATTATAACCCAAATAGTATTTTAATAAAAAATAAAAAAAACTGTTAAAGTATATAATATATATATATATATATATATATACATACATATATATATATATATATATATATATATATATATATATACATATA